TTCACTGTTAACCTGGTTTCACGCAAAGCACACACTGGTACAGGTTGCTGGGTGATGAGTTAACTATGGGTTATCCTGGTGTGGCCTAAGCGAAGTCGTGTTACGGCTGTTTGTATGCTTCTGTCTTCTGACTGTCTGCCATTCTCCGAATTTTGATTTCAGCTCACGCAGCTTAGTAGGCTTTGTTTCCCACACACTATTCCATTGGTCTGTCATTCATGTCTTGTTTTATATATTGTTTTAGGTCTGATGCTGGTATTTGTAGACTACTTGTACGGTTACTCATTGCTGTTGCCTTTGCACTTGTATCTGCTGTCTCGTTTCCTGCTATGCCTATGTGTGATGGAGCCCATATAAATATTACGTTATAAGTTGATTATTGCTGATAAGATTGGATATGGTTTCTTGTATTATTATGGCTAAAGGTTTTTTGGTATATAATTTGTTGATAGCAGATAGTGAGCTGAGCGAATCTGTTACTATTATCCATTTCTGGGCAGGATTACTTTTGATGTGTTTCAGGGCTCCTAGGATTGCATGCAGTTCTCCTGTTAAAATTGTAGCAGCACCTGGAATCTTCAGGGTATTGGTACTGGTTGGTGTGACAATGGCTGCTCCACAGTTTGATCCTTGTTTTGAGGCATCTCTGTATATTTGATTGTGGTCAGGATATTTTCCGAGAATCTCGTGGAAATGTTGTTTGATTATTTTACTTGGTACTTTGTTTTTGTCTAGTTTTGTCAGCCAGATATTTACCATTGGAAACTGAATGGTCCATGGCGGAGTGTTTGATACGTTGGTCAAGTATGGTTGTGGTAGTTGGCGTATATTCAGGCTTCTTAAATGTGCTTGAAGTCTCATGTTTATTGTTGTGTGCCTTCTGTTTCTGCCTAGCTGCATTTGTATACGCATATATTTGTAAGCAGGAGCTTTGATTACGTAGGATGTACTTAGAATATCTCGCCTCAGTTGCAGTGGGGCTTCGCCTGCCTCAAAATATAGGCTGTCCACTGGAGTAGTTCTATAGGCACCTAGTACGATACGCAGCGCTGTGTTATGAAAAACATCCAGGTGTTTTAATATTGATTTCTTGGCAGATGCGTAAGCTATGCAGTCATAATCTATTTTAGATCTTATCAACAGTCTGTATACGTAGATGGATAAAAGTGTTTTCCCCTTTGCGCCCCAGTGTTTGTTTGCAAGACATCTCAGTAAGTTTATTCCTCTCTGGCATGTCTGGCATGTCTGGATAAGTTGGGTGATGTGATTCTTCCATGTCAGATCCTTGTCAAATGTTATTCCCAGGAATTTGATCTCATCTATGTACTCCAATGTTGTGCCATGTAGTTGTAATATTGGGTTGATGATATCTGTGTTCTTTCTGCTGAATATGATTTTTTTTAGTCTTGCTGGGCGAAAAGGTGAAGCCTGTATTGTTTGACCATTGTTCAAATTTGGATAGCTGGGTTTTCAAGAGTCTGGCACTGGTTTGAATATTTCTGCCTCTCACATATAATATCATGTCGTCCGCATAGAGGCGAGCTTGGATGGGTTTCTCCATATTTCTCAAGATGTCATTTATTGCTATGAGAAAGAGAGTTGGACTGATTATTAAACCTTGTGGTACACCGTTCTCTTGTGTTTTGGGTTTGGATAATGACCCATTCACGCGAACTTGAAAGTTTCTGTTTTTGAGAAAGTTGGTGAGAAATGCTAATATGTGTCCATTATAACCATATTCTTTGAGTTTTTTAAGTATTTTTTATCTCCAAGCGGTATCAAATGCTTTATTGATGTCAAAGTATATTGCTAGGCAGTGCTGTTGGTTTTCAAATGCTTCATGGATACAGTTAGATAAGTCGACTATGTTGTCCATTGTCGATCTGTTCCTGAATGAGTATATTTTGTTGCTCCAAGCTCCAGATCAGTCTTTTGTTGATAATTTTTTCCAGAAGTTTGCATGGGACACAGGTCAAAGAGATAGGTCTGTATGATTCTGGATCTAGCTGCTGTTTATTTGATTTGAGAATTGGAATGGTGATTGCTTGATGCCAACTGCTTGGAAATATGTTTTTCATCCAGATTATGTTATAGATGTCTAATAGGTATTTCTTTGCAACTGGTGGTAGTTTCTTGAGGAAAATGGGTGGAATGTCGTCGGGTTCTGGTGATGTGTTTTTTAGATCTTCAATAGCATCATTTAGTTCGTTCATGGTCAGTATGGTATTAATGGGATCTGCATCGTTTTCGATTGAGATTGGCGTTGCCTCTTGCTGGGTTTAATAGATGATGAAATCTTGAGGATAATTTTCATTACTGGAGTGTTTGTGATATGTTTTAGCCAATGTTTCCGCAATTTCTTCTTTATTTGTGTGGATCGTTGTATCTTCTCGTATAGCCTTAATTTTTTGGAAACTGCTAACACCTGTGATGCATTTTACCTTCTACCAGACTTTTGACATGGGAGTAGATGTGTTTATTCCTTTAACAAAGTCTTGCCATGATATTTTCTGACTTTTGTTAGTTACAAGTCTTGTTTTGGCCTGTTTCTGTCTTAGGTCCCGCAGGTTTTCTGATGTTTTGTGCCGCTTGAATTTATTAAGTGCTGACTTGCTTTCTTTAAATGCTGCCTCGCAATCTTGGTTCCATCAAGGGACCGGAGCTTTCTTTCTGATAGTTTTTGTTTTTCCAATATGCAATCTTGCAGCTTCAGTGATCACAGTATTCAGCATATCAGTTATAATGTCAATATCTTTGCCTAGATCAATCCTGTGAATGTTGTCTTCAATATGTCGTGCGTAATTAGCCCAGTCAGCATCTTTCAGCTTCCATTTGTTCGGTGGTGTTGTGTCACTCGTTTCATTCTTTGTATCTGAGATGATGATGGGAAAGTGATCGCTACTATGTAAGTCCTCAGCAGTGATCCAGTTTAGTAGGTTTGGAGAGCATGCAGTTAGGTCGATGGTGGAGAATCTTCCTGAAGCAGCATGGAATCTTGTGTTGCTCCCATCATTAAGTACAGTCAGATTGTAAGTGTCAAATATTTCTTTAACTAGTTGCCCTCAAGTATCGTCTCCTAAGATCACTCTAGGGTTAGGTATTTGATCTAACAATGTTTGAAGCTCGTTGGGTTCCAAACGATAGTCTGGAGGAATGTATATATTATAAATATTAACAGCTTCTTTGAGATCTAGTGTTACAGCGATGGCTTCTAGGTTTGTGTTTAATGGAATTTGTCGTGCCGGTATATCACATTTAATAAAAGTTGCAACTCCTCCGCTGGCTGTTGATCTGTGACGATTTTTTATAAACCCGGTGTAGTTCTTGAGTGAATGTGTTTTCGAGTCAATAAAATGTGTTTCTTGGAGACAAATGACATCCGGTGGGTGGTAGCTTATTAGTTTTTTCCGCATATTTAAATGGATAAAGTATCCATTCAAATTCCATTATAATATCGGCATGAATTGTCCAGTTAATATGTAGATGAATCTATTGACGAGGTATCGCTGAATGAGTCATTAAGGTTAGTATCAAGGTGTCGTTCTAACTTCTTTCGTAGCCTGGTGCATCTATTTTTCAAAGTTCTGTCGCTAATATGTGGATATATTAGCAGTCACATCTCTATCAGTCCCTTTACATCTTGGGTGTAATCGTTTATCACATTAGTTATATCTTGTAGCACATGTGTATTTTCTAGCAAGCTTTTTAGTTGGTCGCAATTTAATACTAGGGGTGAGGTGTGGTTCTCTATAAACGTTTTTATTGGTGTCATGGCATCTTCATGAATGACTGCTGAACCATGTTCTGACTTTTGTTTTTTAGTGGCGCTTGTAGATTTGGGAATAACGAAGTTAGTATTATTTACTGTATTTGGCGTATTTTCTGCTGGAGGTGATAGGATGTCTGAGACGGGTCTTTTCTTAGATGTTTTTTCTATTGTAGGTGTCTGATTATTGATGAATATTGCGCTAGATGTTTCTTGTGTTACTTGTGAGACGTTGAGAGTTTCTTGTGATTTTGCTTCATCGTTAGGTCGAGATATTGTGAGGGAAGTTGTGGTTTCTTTGGGCGCATGTTCGTTGTTTTGCTGGGATTGTCTGGCTAGCGTTTTTTGTTGCTTTTCTTGTCTGTTACTGTTACTTGTAGATGTTGTGTTGGACGCAGATGGGCAATGTGAAGCGATATGACCAGCTAGTTTGCATTTAAAGCACATCTGGCTGTCCAGTGACAGAAAAATCCGGTATGACAGACCATCGTAATTGATTTCGATTGACTCAGGTACTTCGTTCGATTCTAGCGGCGCAATATACACTTGCCTCCTGAAGCTCAGTATGTGACTGTATTCTGGTATGGGTGCTCCAATTCTCAAAAATGATATAGCAGATAGTAGTGTGAAACCTAGCTGTTGGATTTGCTCTTTTAAAACTGTATGTGGGATTTTAGGACACACGTTCGATAACACCAACCTATCTGATAGTGTCACCAGTTTTCGAGCCTTAATTGTTTCTCCTAGTACAACAATTTCGCCTAGGTTCTCCAGGAAGCGATTGACGAGGTCTTTTGTTGATAAGTATATGCAAATCCTATTGTTTGATATCCTAGAGCAGAACAAAATGTTCTTCGGATCTACGATAGGACCTAACTGTAGTAAGTAATCCTGTATTTTAGGTCCATCTATGGAGTTAAAAATTATAACTTTTTCTTTGTTTGGGTGTTTTTATGTTGATAATATAGTGGAGTAGCGTGTGGGTCGGTTAAGTTGAGTTGATGCCATTGCTGTTATGGTTGTATTTCTGCTCGGCGAAATCTCATTGCTGAGTACGGACCTGTCTTGTTTGGTCTGCCGATTTTGGTGACTTTTTGTTTGGATGATCGGAATGTATCTTCGCTGCTGATGTTAAGGCCGGTCCAGACACTACGTCTTAACAAACGATAAAACGTTCATACAAATTGTTCGACAAAAAGTGCAAACGATAGCGCGGCCACACGTTTACAACTAATCGGTCAAATTTTAGTTTTGCGACGTTTTCAGTCATGGAAGAAGCACTTCTTTGGTCGTTCTATGGTATTTGCATTGCGATAAAAGGCAGAAATAAACGAAAAAATCGAAGATTAAGATGGTCGAGGGAATGGTTATTAAAAAGACAGGAATTTTCTCATGTCAGATTATTACGTGAACTTGAACCAGATGATTGGCGTAATTACCTGAGGATGGACACTGAAACATACAACCATTTGTTAAAATCTGTTACTCCTTACATTGAAAGGCAAAATACCTGTATGAGAAAAGCCATTTCAGCTCATGAGAGACTTAGTGCCACGTTAAGATTTCTTGCCACACGAAGAAGCTACAAAGGAATTGGAATTCACCACCATCATGTCCAAGCAATCACTGAGTGAAATTATACCGGAAACTTGTGACGTTATTTACAGGGTTTTAAAAAAAGACTTCCTAAAGGTGAGTTTTGGAAAATACTTTTATTAGAAATAAACTAAACATTAGTGAAGAAAAGTAAAAAATAAAAAAACGTCTTCCATAATACACTACCAATAATTAATTTAGTGATGACACGTTTTTGATTTCTTTAAACACCCTCATTAGGTTTAAAATTTAAAACATACTGAACAAGATCTTTGGGATTAGAATCTGTGTCCTTTTCTGAAACTGGGGTTCGATAGTCTGAAAGAATAAAATTTGTGTTAGCGGGTTCCTCCGGTGTGGTTAAATTATGAATTAGTTATAGCTGTTGGACATGCTGTTCTTGACCGATTTCCGGTACGTAATACCCTTGACGCCAGCCTTGACTTGAAATTTGTCTATTTGGTTCGGTATTGGTGACACAAGGTGGCGCATATTGGTTAAAGTGTGGCTTTCTGGTTTCTCGTGGAGACTGTTGAGGAGGGGGTTGGTCTTCAGTTATAATTTTGGAATATCTGTTTAAGGATAATATGTCTGCCTCAAATAAAACATCAGAGATAAGTTTCATTGCAAATTTAAGTTAATCAGGATGAACTGATCGAAGTCTATCAGCGACATGTTTTCCAAATCGGTCATGTGAATCTTCCTGCAATAAGTCCAATTTTTTATTAATTTTAGACATAACTTCGGCTGTTTCGTTGTTATTTGAGGCCGCCTTCTTTTTGCGATTTACAGTGCGTGCAGGTAGCAGGGCACTGGTAGCGGTATCACTAGTCGGAGTAGATGGCCGACCTGTAGATGGTGTAGCAGGAAAACTCTGATAATCCAAGTCAACCTGAAACAAAGAAATATTACAATTTTATAATACAACAAAAATACAACCGTAAATAAAATGTATAAAAAAATTTAAACATGTTTAATTCAAAACAAAATTCCATTAACTCATTTAAGGTTCCATTTTTTAAATTTTATCGCTAAAATTATTAAACGATAAGAATATGTATTTACAAGTTACTATAAAGGTAAGAATAATGTAATCTCTTTTGTTTTAGTTTCCAAAAAGCGAACAGGAGTGGTTACAAATAGCAGCCGACTTTGAAAAAAAATGGCAATTTCCGCATTGTTTGGATAGTATTGATGGCAAGCATATCAGAATTGTTCCTCCCAAGGGAAGCGGATCGTATTACTTTAACTACAAAAAGACGCATAGCATAGTTCTTATGTCAATTGCTAATTGCTAATACCACATTTTATGAAAAACTAGCCAATAATGATCTAAAACTTCCTAATCCGGAATCTATGCCCAATTCTAACGAAGTTCTTGGATATACGTTTATTGCAGATGAGGCCTTTGCAATGCGTTCCGATCTTATCAAGCCATATAGTAGGGAAACACTCAATAGAGAACGAAGACTTTTTAACTACCGGTTATCCAGAGCCCGACGGACTATTGAAAATACTTTTGGCATTTTATCGTCCCGATTTCGAGTTTTCCACACTGCTATAAATTTGAAGATAGAGAACATTGACAAGGTTGTTCTAACATGTTGTGCATTACATAATTTCTTTCACAGGAAGTCTCCAGAAAATTACACACCCCCAGAAAGTATGGATAGAGAAAATATTCCTGCAGATTATTCTCTTGCGTTAGGAGACAGGTGTGACCCTAATTTAATGCATGACCTTCAAAGAGGAAGAAGAGGCCAAATTTTTAATGATGCAAAAATAGTTAGAGAAAAGTTCTGTGAATATTTTAACAAAGAGGGCTCAGTCCCATGGCAAGATAATTTAGTTCTTCAATAGGTGATAGTTTGTATAACATGTTATAAAAAGAGACTTCTATAATTCTGGGCAATAAAATGCTTTCAATACCTACATAATGTAGTTTTATTATTAATAAATAGACATTACTTACCTCTTTTTCACTTTCCTCTTGATGTGCCTCATCATCGATAGTGTTTGTCGACTGTCTTATTTGATCTTGGTCATTCAGAAAGTCAAGCAAATCAAAATACCATAACGTCGGGTTGTAGATATCATCTTCACCAGCACCACGTTTTGTGGATTTCATTATTTTGGCACGCTCTTTTTTGTAAACGGTGCGTAAAGAGTTAATTTTCTTGGTAACTGGCTCTTTGTTTGCCGCTTCATCAATCTCCTTGTATTTTTTAATCATTATTTTATATGCCTGTGACTTCTTATTCCGATCACTATACTCGGCACTTTTAACTTGCCACAAACAAGGAAAACTACGATAGAGTTCAATAAATTCTCTTAAAAATTGTCGGGAACACTGACGAAGATCAGACATATTGCTTGTAAAGTTTAAAATGCAAAATATATTTAAATACGCATACACAAAGTAACACAGTGTGATACGTATATATTATGAAAATATACTAAAACAATTTCCAATAAAACCGAAATCTGTCCACACGCTCCAACTTGTCGAATCAAGTTTCATAAATGATGCCTCGCACTTCAAATTTTCGACTTATCGTACAACCTTATTTCGATCATGCAAGACGTACGTTTTGTGGTCTACACGCGCCGTTTCACTTGATAAGACTTGTCTGATTCGATAAATAGTTTGATAACACGTAGTGTCTTAACCGGCCTTTAATTCGTCTAATTTATATGCTATATCTGTGATATATGGAAAGTACTTCTACTCACTATGCGTTCTGGATCGTGGTCGATACTTTGTAGTAGGAGCCACAAATTAATTATACTTCGGAACACTTTCGCGAGCTGGCTATCTATTCAGCTAACTGATAGGGTAGCAGGACCGGATCTCCAATGAAACTTTTCAAGCATTAAACTTGAGACTCCTCAAACCTTGAATCGCTAATAACTTAAAAATAGAGAAAAAATAATGAAAATCATTTCTGTTCAAAATAATCTACAAGAACCTGAAAGAAACATATTTGAGAAAAAAGAAAAAACATTTTATGTAAATTCTTTATTTTTTGTCATGAATTCCATAAGCAGGCAGGCCTGGTACTCCAACAGCCTGACATGGCTATCTTGCTGACTTTTGAAAAATCTTACTAAAGTATCCATATTATCTGAAAATACAATTTTATTAGATAAATTATTTTCATCTTAACATTAATTAAAACCTACAATTTTCAAGTCGCCTTCTGTCATGCCGATGGCCATCATATCGATGATTTGGATATTCTTTGAGAGGATCTCTTTTTGGCTTTGTTTTTTAGCATCAGCTGAAATAAACATAAAAAACCATTTTTAGTACGATTATCAAAAAATAAATAGAAAAAATCAATTAACAGACAAAACTTGGTATGGTGATTATTAATATAGCATATAAATAACATTGTAACAGTATTTGATACTATGACACTGAAATTGAAATTCAAACTTTACAGTGCTTATATAAACGTTTTAAAAAATATTTGATTTTTCTTTCTAGTTGTGATGAAAAGTACAATTTTAGAAATTTGTATCTATTGAAAGCATGTCCCAGAAAATTACTAAACAAGTTAAATTTTATTTTTTAATCACAAAACATATTTAAAAAGTTATTTGTATAAATTATATACAACAATACATTATTTCCTTAAAAGGTATACCTTTCCTTTACAATTTTCATAACCAAATAACGCAATCATGCAATTCTTGAACAGAACATATTATAAATTTTAATAGTCATTTGGTATTAGTTTATTTACTCTCTATAAATTTAAAATGTAAAAACTATATAAAAATATTAAAGTCAATGACGAGAAGCCAAAAATATCAAGCTTGAAGCTTTAAAATTCAGTCAAATTTTGTTTATAGATACTTTAAGAACAGAATGCTTGTTTATATATGTATATATATATATATATATATATATATATATATATATATATATAATCTTAAAACAATTACAAAACCACCGACAATTAAACTAATAACAACTTCAAAAATAACAGATATAATTGCTTGAAATTCGTTAACATTAGAAATAACAGATTGAACTTACGTTGATCTTCTTGATCGCCCATTGTGAAATAACCTCATAACAAAAAGGCGCCTATAATAAGGGATGTATACATGGGCGTCCAAATAGCAAAATTTAGGAGGGCATGTAGGATCAAAAATTCTGAGAACTAGCCAACTCGTTGGTGAAAATTAAAGACAGGGTAGCAGGGAAGGATGGCAGCGGGGCGCATGACTAGGTTGATGCGGAAAAAAGGAAGAAGAGTAGGTTTGCTTCCGCCTCCCCAAAATATAGCAATATACCCATTTTTTATTGGATAAACTGTACGTTTAGGAGGAATTGATACCATCAAGAACTTGAACAATAAAAACGATAGTAATTGATCGTATTGCTGTAGTAAAGAGGCAAACGTTCAAAAACGGTAAATCTAATGCAAAAACGGTAGAATTGGAATCTCTGATTACAGGCCCAGTCAACTAACTTTATATGTGGGCACTTTAAATAGCAAAGCGAGTTTTTAAAATACTTGAACCTCTAAACCTCTGGCCCACGAAATACAGAATTTATTGATTACTTGGTCGTTGAACTATTATAAATGCGTTCTTTTTGTCGAATCTGACATTTTTTTCTGTGCCATAAACCCTCAACGGCGGAACGTTCTTTTACAGACAATTTTTAACTTTGAGGCGTCGGACAGAAGGTATCACTTCATTAGTATGTTCAACAATAATACCTCTCGATTTTTCTTGATCTCTTTTCAAATACAACATACGATATAATACATATACGACCAAAAACGGATTTATAAACTCATACTTTCAGTTCGTTGCTAATGGAACATGGATGAGAAAATTAATCAAATGATAACTTCAAATGAATTATGTGATTCTATAGAAGTAAAGCATTACTATCTATTTTACTTTCCGCATAGTTGTAAAAATTGCAAATCTCAAGCCGCTTGCCGAATTATGAACTCCAAATTAATATAAATTTTTTTAATTCGGGAATGTACACTAATTTCAATTTGTAATATTGACACCAATAAATTTAAATTTTGGAAACGTAATCGAAAACAATAACAAATATTTATAAAAGTATTTTTTATACATCTTATTTAATATGCATTTTTGGGTGGTGAATATAATAACGTCAACTATTCGACATTATTTAATTTTACGTCCCACTTTTTCAATTAAACTACAATAATAAGTCACGTTCTTCACATTTTTCTCTTATTAACGCAGCAATCACAAATCAAATACAAAATGCATAATTGAATCGTGCGCATCATCCCCTTAACCCCGCTGTTTGGCCGCCAATCTAACGCTGTGTTGCACGATGAATTTGATTTATACCCTAGGAAGAAACTTAGCTCTCAACTATTCAAAATACTCACACACCACTTTTTATCCAAGAATAAATATCTTATTAAAAATATTTGACTGAGCTGAAGCTAAACCCTAATGGACGCCCATGGATCTAAACCCTGCTTTGGAAATGACATCGGATCCTACGGACCGCTTTGACAGACAGTGACGAATAGAAGAAGAAGAAGACATCGGATCATTTCAGTGAACACATTCTAGATGGCGTATATCAACTTATTTTTTCAAATATTTATAAAAAGAATTATTATATTACAATAGTACCTAGGTAATTAACAAAAAAAACTAGTAGAACAATGCGAAAGTACCCATCGCAAGATACCGATACGGCCACGTTATAAAGAATGAACTCATGATTCGCTTATTTGCAAAGGCGGTTAAATTCATATTTTCCAAATTGCCATTACATTCATATAAATCAGCTCACTATTTCATACTTATTTTCAAATTAGCTAAAGCTATTGCGTATTTCATTACAAAGTGACTATATTCTTAGTTTTACTAAAACCACATAAATAATAATAATAATAATAATAATAATAATAATAATAATATTTATTTACTCAATGTACAAAGATAACAAACAATATGATTAAATAAATATAAAATCAAAACAGGCCCAATAGAAGGCATCGCCTGTACATACAACGTTACACCAACTATGATGCCCTCCTTCATGGAGTGAACCGGCTAAATCCCGTTAACACTGTCAAAAACACTGAAAAGGAACTGCAGTGTTGGCAGGGCCAATATTGTAAATTTCTGCATTGGTATCGAAAAACTTGGCTATTTTCCACTAGCCCGTGGATTATTGGTGGGGGGGGCAGGAGAGAGGTGGCGTATTATCATAAAACAGGGGGGTATTGATTATACAGGTTGTGTGAAAAAAGGAAAACAAAAACCAAACAGCGTGCTAAAATATAACATATAACAAATGTAATAAAAAACATTTGACTATAAAAATCAATACAATATTACCAATAAATGTCAAACAACAGAACATTTATTACGCAGTTATTTTAAAGAAACATTACAGGAAACTAAAAAATAAAAAGCATATCACTAAAGGCCATTTCTGTTTTGCATAATAAAATTGAGGTTTTTGAATTACTTAAGCTTAGTCACTGTCTGTATCAGATTCTTCTTGTTGCATTTCTGTTCTCTCTATACTATATAAATTATTTTAGTATTTTTAAAATATATTTCACCAAACTCGTCTATGCAGCAACATTTTTTTGTATTGTATCCACTTTGATAACTATCGCGAATAAAATTAAACGTAAAATACGATTCCTTTTCTTTGTTCTCATTATTTCCATATATGAGAATATCCACTCGATATCTGCATTACCATGTGACAGATGTTAACATTATTAAACATACTTTGGAAATACACCTCACAGGTTGTGTTCTTACTGTTTTTACCACCTACTACCATCTAAACGTGTTTCCGTTGAATAACAATTACCGACTGGTGGTTACCACTGTCGATTTGCAAGATACCTGTATTTAGATTTGGTTACTAACTGTACTCAATTTTTTTTTTTGGTAAAAATATCCATCAGGTCTACCTAAATTACAATATTCCAACACTACTTCTGGCAACATTGGGGACTAAGCTGACATTTGACAAATGACAGCTTGACTTTACCGCCAAAACTTCCATTTTGTTCTGTAATTGTGAGCGTTGTGAGCATGAAAGCATTTATGTTTTGAACACGAAAGCTTGCAATTGCAAACATAAAACATACCTATAATTTTGTCACAATTTGCTTTTTGTTATATATATATATATATACTTTCATTTTTAGCTTTATATTATAGTAGGATAGTATTTCAAAAATATATACATCAACATGCCTAAAAAGAAGAGAGGAAACAACTGGTACGCCAAGAAACGTATTATCAAGAATCCTACAACTATTTCTACAAATGATGATGAACAAGATGAACCCCAAATTGAACGAATTGTAGAGTCTATAACTGTAGAAGAACCACAGCCTGGCCCTTCCAGAGCAACGTATGTATTTATTTTATATTAATAATTTTTTATAGACACCTCTTGAAAACCAATCGAACCTTAAAATTTACATATTTAGCACAAATATCAGCTTTAAATCGACGTATAGTTTTAATTAATTTCTCTAATATATCTTTGTCTCAGTAAACTGAAAAGTGATATTATGTGCATCAGCCTTAAAACTTGCCCACTCACAAGTCAGCAAGGCTAATCAAAGGTAGACATATTGATGTATTGTCAGATTGTTTGTATTTAAAACCAATATAAGATGACAAAAATGTCGACAAATGAATGAAAAGCAGAATATTAAAAATATCGTATTGCTAGCATTAATCACAAAAAACTGGTCACACCTTGTTGCGTATGAACCTTACCCTTCTAAGAAGATTGACCGTTCTTAATTATGAATGCTTTTTTTATTATATTGATATTAAAAATTCATATAAAAGAAATTATAGTTAGATAAACTAAAAAAAAAGAAAAAATTAAGTAGCAATTCGAAATAAAACGTTACAAATACTTTCCAATTCTAAAATAATTTATATTAATACAATAGAAAGTTTAACAGTCAAATATAACTAATTAATTTAGTATATCAATATAAGAATTAAAGTATTTTACAATTTACAAATAATTCAATTACAACAAAAAAAGAGATATGAGCTACAGTTAGCTATATTTATATAATAACAATTTATGATTAAAGCTTTTTTTTAACTATAATTTATTTTAAATACACCTCTACACAGATGTTTACAACAAAGATCACTGTTTTAATAATATAGAACTTGATTCAAATTGCATAATTTATACAAATAACGCAACCTTTAAAAAATCTCATGGAATTTATATTTTAAAAAAATAATAATCTTCATTGATCAGAACATGATAAATAACATGAAATGAGATTTGTCACCTACTATTCTGCCATAATATTATAGTAAGACTATGTATTTCACATTCTTTTATCCAAGTTCTACTTTACTTCTGACAAGATTATTATGTTTTAAGCAAAATGTTTTTGTTTGTTTTTTTTGGTTGTTTAGGTTCAATAGAAACATAATCACTATTAGCAACTCTAAGAAACTTCCTTTTTTAAGTTGTCTACAATTTTCAATATGATTGCGCATTCTAGCCACCAGTGGCAGTATATCCATATTTGCAGTTTAAACATGTTGCTCTTTTATTTATTTTCGAGCCGGCTTTGGCATCAGTCTCCTTAAAATATTTCCATATGAGACCCTTTCCCTCTTTTTTTGTCGGTCGTTAAATTACCCAGAGACCAACGGTACTTCCCCAATGTCAGTACAGTCCGTTTTTAAATTAGAGAGTGTTCTGATAGAGCTGGATCAAGAATGTAGTAACACTTTCAGGGAACTTCGTTAATGTCGCTAGATTATACAAGCAATAGTTTTAGAATTTTTTTTACTGTTTCAAACATGCATTAACAGTGTAACAGTGCTAAATTTGAATATCTTAAACTAAAGAAAAACAGTTTTTAACAAGACATGAATTTTGTTTCTTTAAAACATAGTTTTTCTTCAACCTTGATTACTGATATCAATGTATTGTATTAATTCATTTTATTTTATACCTTAATTTAGTCTTAATGTTTTGTAGACATACTCCAGGTCAAACACAGGAGTCAAACATCTCAGTAAAAGGGAAAAAACGTAAACATAAAAGGAAGTTATGTCTAAGCAAACGAAAAAAGCATACAGTAATTCATACAACTTCTGTACACATCACTTACGTCTTCTTCTACAATAGATCAACAAATGGTTATTCATAACAGTACAGCAAGTTCCGACATTCTTATACAATCAACAACAAAGTAAGTGTATAAATTTAATACTTATTATCTTTTTCAATTAAATTATATATACCTAATATTAATTTTCGTTAACATTTGGTCTATACATGAAAATATAATTACATTTTTTCATACCAACAATATATTACATAACTACTGTATGACATGCATCATAATAGATTATTTTCATTTAATGTTACATATATTACTTGATTGATGATGATGATAATAACATTGACTAAATAAGCAAAAAAGTACGCATATATAGAATCAAAAAATAACTATCAAATTGTAAAACAGGAATTCTTAAAAAAATGAAACAATTTGGGATGCATTAAAAGTTTCCATTTCTATCTTTGAAATAAATTAATTTTTCTCTCTATAAAGTAATACATTTTTTTTTCTTTTGTATGCTTCCTACTTCTGTCATCGTATTTTCCATTATGCCATTAAATATTTACCTAACAATTTACTTGTTTATTTTATATTTTCAGAGGAAAAATGAACAAAGGCAAAACACCATTGAAAAAATCTAAAAAACCAAGCGAACCTCTGCAGTCAACACTTCCAGTGATATCGCAACATCTAATTCAATCAAATGAGGAGGTTTTTATTAACGAAGCAAGTAGAATTACAACTGCATTCCCCAATAATCTCATTGCTATACCAGGTCCATCACGACTTTCAAATGCAGGGTGAGGAATTCATTTATTTTTTAATATTAATTCAGATCCAAAATTAAATAATAAAATATAATTTAAGTTAAATTCATACACATTGTAGTATAATGACTGAAATACTTCGAAGTTTCAATACGACATCTAATCACAATCACGTGGCCAGTTATAACGACTTACCTTCGTATTTCAAATTTAAAAAATCTTCAAACAGCAAAGGATTATGCGGATTCAAACGAAATATAAGATAGTTAAGTAGATATACGTATCACTTGGGTTATCTATCCTATTTTCTGTTCGAATACACTTTCCTATTTTTGCGGATTTTACCCATTATTTGATTTATTTGTTATACAGAGTGTCCCAAAAAAAAGTGAAATATTCTACCAGCGGTTTCTACAGCTTAAAATAGGAAGAAAAGTTTATATAAACATAGCTCAACAAACGTTCCCTACGGGCACTACAGTCTTTTAAAAGGGCTCCCCTGAAGATGGGTTTTCCCTAGGCCCGTATCGTCAGTCGTCCCTACAATTGTAGGACGCCTTTATGGCATGAATGAAAATAGGAAGTTATTCAGCTATTTTATACTACAATGTGTAGGTTAACTTTTGTTGTGGTCTTTGTATGTTATTTTTTCCTCTCCATATTTATTTCCTTAAATTATACCTGCATGCGGATGTATAGGTATATGTATCTACTTTTTTAGTTGCATAGATGCAGTCATTTCGGGCCTGATGAAGCCAACAAGCAGGAATACATATTACTTCGGTTACCTATCTTATTTTCTGTTCCAATCCACTTTCTTTCTTTTTACGGAGTTTGCCCATTATTATATTATACACATTATATATTATTATATTATACACCTATCTCCGCATGATCCTTTTTTCTTTGTAGTTCCTGGTGGACTTGAAGTACCACAGCAAGTAGGTGTAACCGGCCGTGTAGTTGTAGTTAGATGTCGCTTTGAAAATTCAAGGTCTTTTAGCCATTTTATACTACAATGTGTCTGTTGGCTCTTGTTGTGAACTTGATGTACCATTTTTTTCCCTCTCCATCTGCGTTTCCTCAAGTTATACATATTTCCAGATGTATCGATATAGTTGTAGTCACTCTTCTTGGAGGGTCAAAATAAAACTACCAGTATCTTTTTATATACCTCTATCTTCTATATAGATACATATGAAACTTACCCCTGTATATGAACGTTTATTCATTCAAAGATATACGTTTTTTAGTTATGTTTCCGTCTTGAAATCTTGTCGTTACATATGAATACTTTTCAATCATATGAGAGTGACATTCACTCAACATCGACGAGCAACTCAAGTTGTCCTGTTATCAATCTTCAATATAAAATTGTACAATGCCCGAAAATACGATCAATGGTCAGAAGCAATAACTCATGCTAAATTTATTAGAGTATTTACAAGAAGATAACAAAAACAGCAATCCCCTGGTGCACACTTCATGCATATTGGAGAGATTAGCAGATGCGCTGAAGATTAATTGGCACAATCTTCCGCCCATGGTAGGAAGACTAGATCAGTTTACTTATCTCATATGACGCTGATGACGTAACCGCTAAGAACGGTAACTACAACTTTATGTGTATCTATTTTTTTAATTGCAAATACGTATTCATTTCGGGCCTGATAAAGCCAACTAACAATAACAAATACATATCGTTCGGGTTACTTATCCTATTTTCTGCTCGAATCCACTTTACTTTCCTTCTTTTTGTAGATTTTACCCATTATTTTTCTATTTGTTATACACCTTTCTCCGCATAATCTTTTTCTCTTTGTTTGTTTTCAAATTCAAGGTCTTTTAGCCATTTTATATTACAATGTATAGGTTGAATTTTCCATCCTGATGCCATTCGCAGAGCGACGAATCTTGTACATGAAGTAAAAAATGTTCTCCATGAATTCCGCAATGAGCAATGGAACGACTTTCAGGGATGCTTCACTCAAGTACTCTTCTCTGGAAAGTGACGAAGTCTCTTAGAGACGGAAAACGAGAACAACTCCCGCACATCCACGGTCCTGGGGACATAGTCTCAGGACAGAGGACAAAGTCGAGGTTTTCGGTGATGCTATAGAACGACAGTTCTCTCCCAACTATGATCTTCATAATGATCTCGTCGAGAAGCAACATATTGTAAGATCCGTCAGGAGATATTTTAAGGCCAACGACGTCAATGATCTCGACGCCGCCATTTGTGATTCTTCATCGGAAAATTCTTCAGCTGAAGAATTGCACACCACATTAGTGGCTTCTCCCGAGATCCCGCATTACACACCAGCAGAGCTTCAAGGTCATATTAAAGACCTCAAGGTGCGTAAAGCGCCTGGGGAGGATCAAATCACTAATAAGGCGCTGAAGCTGGTTTCACGGATGTCCTTGACTTATCTCGTGGCTATTATCAATGCCATGCTAAGGACCCAGTACTTTCCATCGGCGTGGAAGACTGATTCCAAAGAAGGTGGGATCAATATTTGACCAGGACTATTATCCAATCAGCCTACTGTCTGCTCCGTCTAAGCTCTCTGAAAAGCTGGTTCTTCGTCACCTTGCGAAGTTTTCGTCAGATCACCATGTGATTCCTGACGTGGAATTCAGATTTCGGTCTGAGCACAGTACAAAGCTACAAGCGGTTAGGCTTATGGAGCGAGCAACTAGGAGCTTCACTCTTAACGAAAATACTAACATCGTGCTTCTGGATGTCTCGAAGGCATTTGATAAGGTGTGGTACAAGGGCCTTCTCTATAAACTAATTCAAAAGGGCTTTCCATTTTGACTCATAAAACTTTTGAAATCCTTCCTTGACGGTAGGAAATTTCGGATCGAAATTAATAATTTCCTGTCGACAATACGGAACATCAGAACCGGCGTCCCTCAGGGTTCGGTTTTATGGCCAATCCTTTACTCACTTTTTACGCATGATGTCCCTTGCCCTAGCGACTGTGCAGTTTATCTATATGCTGATGACACTGCACTAGTGGCCCAGTCACGTACCAGGAATCTGGTACATGACAGGTTACAAAGTGCGCTGAATATTGCAGTGGGCAGATCGGTGGTTAATCAAAATTAATTACTCGAAAACGCAGGCTATCGTACTAAAAAACGTAACGGCGCCTCGCCTGAGGTTTCAGTGAATGGAGCCCGGATACAATGGGGAAATTCAGCTAAATATCTCGGTGTCACTCTTGACAGGAAAATCACCTGGCAGAATCACATTGAAGCGTTAAAAACTAAATTCCAAATTACGTTTCGGCAACTTTATCCTTTACTATGTAGAAGCTCAAAATTAAGTTTGGTTAACAAAGTTTGGCTATATAAGATGGTTATCAGACCATCAATCACTTACGCATGTGCAGCATGGTGTTTTCTTGCCAAAACGCATATACGTAATCTGCAGGTTTTGCAGAACAGAACCTTGTGAACCATCACTAACGCACCATGGTATGTCTCCAACGACACCCCTCACAGGGACCTCAACATCCCTTACCTAAGGGACTACATCAAACATCAGGCGCAGTTACGTTATACTCAAGCAGAATCACACAGCAACCCTCTGTTGCATGAGTCAGTAGACTACACAGTCGAGCAAGTTCACAAGCATACAAGACCGCGGCTCGCACTATGAGCAAAATCAAATTGTGCAATTCTAGACAACTTCCTAAATTAATTTTTGGATTAATTTAAAATAACCGAATACCAGTTAACAATAGCAAGGCATCCCTTAAACCGACGCACTTCATCCTCTTTGCTCTTCCCCCTTCCTTCCTTTCTTTCTTCTTCCTTTCTTTCTCTCTGACTTCGTATGGTTTCTGGGCAACCAGATCTGACACACCTACTGACTTACAATACTTTAACAAAGAACAAAGGTCCCACGGACCGCTCTGACGGACAATGACGAATAGAGGTTGGATTTTATTGTAAACTTCGTGTATCATTTTTTCCCTTTCAATCTTTGTTTCGTCAGATTACACCTGAATCTAGATGTATGAGCATATGTATTCACTTTTTAAATTGCATATGTGTATTCTTTTCGGGTCTAATGAAGCCAGCAAACAGAAATACGTATCATTCGGGTTACCTATCGTGTTTTCTACTCAAATCCACTTTTCTTCTTTTTGCGGATTTTACCCATTATTTTTTTGATATATACCTTTCTCCGCATAATTCTTTTCTATTTGTAGATTTTTAGGACATGAAATACCTCATTAGGTAATTATAACCGGTCACGTGGTTGTGATGACAGCTCGTATTGAAAAGTCAAGGTCTTATAGCCATTTTATACTACATTGTGTACGTTGGCTCTTGTTGTGGACTTTGTATATCATTTTTTCCCCTATCCATCTTCGTTTTTTTAGGTTACACTCGTATCTGGATGTATGAATATAGTTGTAGTCACCGTTGGTAATGGGTCAAAGTAAGACTATCAATATCTCTTTATATATAAAAAAATACAAAAACGGTCTCCTGTTACCCACTTCATGTGTACCGGAGAGAGTAACAAAAGCACTGAAGATTAATCTGCGCATTCTTCCGTCCTAAGTACGGAGACTCGATTTGTTTACTTATCTTATATGTCGGTGATGACTTAACCGCCAAAAACAGTGACTACAACTATATGTGTATCTAGTTTTTTAATTGCAAATGTGTATTCATTTCGGCCCTGATGAAGCCAACAAACAGAAATACGTATCTCTCAAGTTACCTATCCTATTTTTTGCGCAAATTCATTTTCCTTCTTTATATATATAAATCGCTATCTATCACACTAAAATCAGCCATTGCGAAGAGCAAAGTAGTCGATTATGGTGTAATAGATAGCACAGTCTTAATTCAATACACCGTACATTCGAAATAAAGAATAGTCACAATGTTTTCATTCATTTTCCAGAAATAAAACTATACCTAGGCCATTCTAATGTGTAGCCAAAAAGCACGAAACTGCTATTCATCATTTTCTGGTTTTTGTTCCACTGGACGAAAACATTATGTTTATTATATTTGTAATTTTATTTTTATTTCAGTATTGTTCCTGAAGCAATCACACCACAAATGACATGTACTAATAGTTCAGAGATTGTTAACCATCCAACAAATATGCGGGCATCCACACAACAAGACATTGAAGAAACTACCTCTTTGCTAACAAGGATGGAAATTGATATCCCATTACAACACATTGAACCAATAGAAACGTCATCCTTACCAACTTTAAACCAACAACAGAATGATGACAATATCACTATGACAATGGGACACGATGAACTTAATGACATATTAGCTAACCTTAATATAGACAATTTGCTAGAAAATACCAATAATATAATAGCCGAAAATGTAAATGAAACTATTCATCGAAGAGGGAGTCATTACATGGCAGCAACTGATCATTACACAGGTGTATATACATTGGGAACTTTCACTTTTACCTGTTTTCACTGTAGAGCCTTACATTTTTTATGTGACAAAAATTCCAGAAATATTTATTCAAATTGTTGTAAGGATGGTGCAGTACATCTGCCTCCATTTGATTCATATCCTGAGCAATTATGAGTACTATTTCAGGATCGAGAATTTATGGAAAAAGTGCGTTATTATAACAATAGCTTCGCATTCGCCAGCCTAGCTACCAATACTATAAATCCGCCTGGTCGAGGATCTTATGTATTCAAGGTGAACAGTAAAAATAACATGATATATGGATCAAAAATAAAATTCCACAATGTAACCTGACGAATCATATCTCAGATCGAATTCATTTTTTTTTCTAAGCAGTACCTACGGAAGTGACTTTACAAAATTTCAAAGTCTTACAGAGTCTTAGGCAGCAGCGGTGACCGCAGTAGTAGACTCTTCGGTCTCCTGATCAGTTGCCGTGCGCTGTGCGGATTCGAGTCCCGTCCCAGGAGAAATATTTCTCTTGGCTATGGATGTTGTGATTGTCCGTAGGTGGTAGACGGTCTCTGACTGTCGAACGTGGAGGTACCACCCGGCGGATTTCGTAGGCGAAGCCAGAATGTGTGCATGTTGCATGCACACGTGTTCCCTCGCCAGAGTCCGTGTGGCGTCCCCCTTTCCCCTGTATCCCCCTATAGCCCCACGGTGCCCAATGGGTGTTTAGGCCTTAGACCGTCATGGTAGTTGGAGTATAAAAAAAATGAACAATTTACTCTGGAACGGCTCTCAAAATATAAATTTTCGACCAAAATGTAAATTTTAGTATGTTAACAATTTTTCTTTTTTTCGCTACTCCTTCCTGTCAATGGAAAGCAATATGTACAATAATATATGACTATCTAAATAGAATTGTCCAACGAAGTCAAATGTTACCTTCAAATTGCAATATAATTTATTCGACAAATTTTTCAAATAATTCTTGTAGAAATTTTTTACTGGTTTATTATTAGCTAGACATTTAGAATAGCTTACAATATTAAAAATTTACAAAATTAGTATTTTCCTTAATTCTAAAAGATGGCTCCTGGCCCATATCAGGTTCAATTTTGTTACCCTATGGAACATGATTTTTTTGAAATTTCACGCTCTTAGGTGAAACGATTCACTCTGGACACACGTTTACAATATCAAAACAGGTGTAGCGAGAAATTGAAAAATTGACAAAATATTAAAATTTATATTTTGACCTACAAACTTTAAGCGCATGTCTAAATCAGATCATTCAACCTAGAATCTTAAAATTTCACAAAGCCTCATACTTCAATAGGTACTTTCCAGGAAAAAAATTAGCTTGGGCTGAAACATAACCCACCAAACCAAGTCGTGGAATTTTAGTTTTATCATTATATATATATATATATATATTTTGACGATATAAATACATATTTTAAAAATGTCCATTGCAATGTGTATGAAAAAAATAGACAGAGAGACATACAGTATAGCGTAGCATACACTATAGATCAAAATATGTGAATTGACCTAAATATACCTTAGTCCTAAAGTCGATAGTTTGTGAGATACAGGGCATCAAAGTTACAATTTTATTTTCTATTTTTCCTTTTTGCTTGAGAAGTATTTTAGATTTTGGCATACAACTCGGTATAGGGAGGTTTTCTAGTAAGAGAAACAAGAATTCATTATTTTTCTTGGGCAAAGTTCTACAGAGCGCCACTTATAGCACTATTTCGGTCAATAACTTACCATAACTTTTTTTCGCTACTCTGTATACAACAACTAAACAAAAAAACTTATTTTTTCGTATTTTCACAACAAAAAGGGTTTACTTGTTTGAAATGTTTAAAGCTAATAGTTTTCGAGATATTTCTTTTTAAAAGTTCCATGATGATAAATAATTTTTATAACATAATAATCAAGTTGCTTTATACAATATGTGAGTAGCATTGCTATGCTTTTTAACAATAATAAATGAAGATGGCAACAAAACTGCTAAACGAAAATAATAACTACAAAAATTGTTCAAAATGAGCACTACCTTATCTAATACACTTTCAAACTCGACGAACTAATCCTTGCTGCATTCTCCAAAACATGTGGATGCTATTTTTCATTTCCTGACTATGGTGGAACATTTTTTGTTGAAGATCATCTACAATTTCCACTGGCGTATTGTAAATGCGTCGTTTTAAATCACCCTAGAAGAACATTTCTTCTATATAAATTAATTTGAAGTTGTACTTTTTGGCAGGTTTATATTATTTCATAGGGATATATTGCAAAAATGTAAAGATTTTGCGAATTAAGAGCCATGTACAAATTTCTACCCTTGCGGTTTCTTCATCCGCTCTTAAACCATATACTTTTTGCAGGTGGTATAGATGGAACAGTTACTCTTGAAAAATGATATTTACAGTACATTTAGAAACTTGATATTCTCGAACTACATTCCCAACCCCAACTGTACGATTTTCAAAGACAACATCTAAAACATTTTCTTCAATTTCAGCTGTACGTACAATTTGGGAGCTCCACTATATCGGCCCATACTTCGAGCAAATTTACCTAAAATCCAAATGGTGTTTACTACTCAAAATAAAACTATACTCATTTCTTATCAGTTTCTCGTAACCACTGATCGATTCGTTGGAAAATTTTTGAATTAGGGAATCTGTCAGCTTACAATCTTCGTGCTTTTAAAGCACTACATCTTGCTAATCCATATATTAAATTCTCATCAGAATATTCTTCAAATGTATATTCCATGATGGTTAACGTTTTATTGTCAACTTAAAATTATTCATAAAGCTTAAAATAATCTTATGCCAAACATTAAAAACCATAGCAACGCTACCCAGATATTATCTAAAGCAACTTGATTATTATGTTGTAAAAGTAATTTATAGTCATGATACAAATAATGCATTGGTATTTTTAAAAACTACTTTTTCGAAAACTATTAGCTTTATACACTTCTAACTGTTGTTGAAATAGCACAAAAAAGTTATGATGATTTATTTACCGAAATAGTGCTGTATATGGCGCCCTCAAAAAGTTTGGCCATGAAAAATAACGAATTCTTGTTTCTTACAGTAGAAGACCTCCCTATACCGATTTTTATGGCAACATCTGAAATACTTCTCGAACATTAAGGAAAAATAGAAAATAAAATTGTAACTTTGACATGCTGTATCTCGCAAACTATCAACTTTTAGGCTGTGACATGTTTAAGCCAATTCACACATTTTGGTCTGTAACATATCCAGTTTCGAGATTTCCCAACCTTTCCCACTATATATTTCATATCTTACTTTTACCTTTTTTACAATACTGTTTATTTTATCCATATACAAAGAACAATTATACATTAGACACCAATTATTTAATTTTTTTAAACCACTTATAATATTAATAAATTCTTTATCCCTTCCATAATGAATTTACTTTTCTTTACAGGTGCAGGGAGAAATAAGACATCATATATCAAATATTTCGACTAATATTTCTAATGAACGCAGACAATATGGCACTCTATATTTTTTGGATACTGAACTGGCAAATCAGCTTCGGTCTGCTGGCCCACAAAATCGAACAGAATTAAATCGAGAAACCGTCGATATTATTTCTAATTACATGCACAGCCACAATCCTTTTGCTCAAGCGTATAGATTTCTTAAAGATGTCTATCAGGAACAACAACATAGCAATCGTCAACTAACTTTAGAATTGTACATCAATAACAACCGTGTTCTGGATATTAATTTTAGGCAATATGGCGCAGTACAAGCGAATGAAATAGCGGCCGTATTTATTTCTGAAGATGGAAGACCGCCCCTGGATCGTTGCTTACATGTTTATTGTCGAGACAACGATCAAATCATCCACGAACTACCATATCTTAGTGTTAACTGCGACGAAATGACATATCCTCTATTACATCCAAGAGGTGAGCCAGGCTGGCAATCTGGAACAGCGCATCAATGTAGAAGAGGTGATGTATCCTTACTGGAATACTACAGTTTCAGAATAGCTGTTCGACCAGATACTTTCAACCAATTTGTAATGGCAGGCAAGCTGACGCAACAATACATCGCAACAATAGATGCATAGGTAAAAATAGAACAGAGTCGATTACAATTTATTACTGAAAACCAACCACACATCAGGCAAGAAATATTTCAAGGACTAATCGACTATTTAGACTCTAGACAACTTGACGTTCACTATCAACCAGGCAATATTTTCATCCTACCGTCGAGATTCATAGGAAGCCCACGCGCATTTAGACAAAATTATTTGGATGCCATATCTATAGTCACAAAACATGGGAAACCAGATATTTTCCTAACATTTACTTGCAATACTGTTTGGCCTGAAATTAGGAAAAACCTAGATACAAATCAACATTCCTCAAATAGGCCCGATTTTATTTCGAGGGTGTTTAAGAGCAAATTGAAGGAATTAATAGAAGATATTGATATACGAAATGTCATGGGAATTTGCGTTGCTTACGTTTACGTGATAGAATTTCAGAAAAGAGGACTCCCTCATGCGCATATGTTGATTTGGTTAGAAGGATCAGATAAAATCTTGGACTCTGCAGCAATCGACCGTTTAATTTCAGCAGAATTTCCCGACCCTATCGCGCATCCCAACTTGCACGAATTAGTCAAAGTACATATGCTTCATGGACCTTGTAGTGCTGCTCGATGCTTAGATGACGAAGGACATTGCAGCAAACAATTCACGAAATCTTTGCGTGAAGATACCTTATACAATTCCTCTGGATATCCGCTATATAAAAGACGGCCAATAGAAGTACCTGTACATATATGTTAGATAGAAGAACAGTAGATAACGGTTGCGTTGTACCATATAACGCTTATCTACTTGAAAAATACGAAGCTCATATTAACGTGCAGGCTTGTTCTTCAATAAAAAGCGTAACATATTTATTTTAATATATATATATATATATATATATATATATAAGGGACTTCATAGAGCTTAAATTGTCGTGCGAACTGTAGAGGAACAAGACGGTCAAACAACTATTCAGGAACCTGTATACAACGAAATTCAAACGTTCATGGACGTTCGCTATGTTAGCGCACCTGAGGCAATGTGGAGAATTTATACATTCGAAATGCACGATATGTCTCATGCTATCATCAAACTTTCTGTACATCTTCCCAATATGCAACAAGTCTATTTTAATACAAATAGTACCCCATCGCTGACGTTTTAGAAAGAGCCGCAACACAACACATTACGCTAACAGGATGGTTCGCCTTGAATGTACAAGACGAAGAAGCTAGGCAATGCACTTACGTACAAATACCTTATAAGTATGTGTGCAAAATAAGTCAAACAAGACATTGGGTGAAATGTCAACGACATTTTGATCGTTTAATTCCTAGATTATATTTTGTTCATCCTAGAGAAGGTGAACGATTTTATCTTCGTCAACTTCTTTTGCATAAAACAGGATGTAGATCATTCGAAGGCCTTCGAACTGTACATGGCCGTACGTGCGAAACGTTCCGTAATGCTGCTATTGCGATGAACCTTCTCACGGACGATAGCATTTGGTTCTCGACTTTGCAAGAGGCTATACGCGTAGAAATTCCACGAGCTCTTCGTCGTATGTTTTCACAAATGTTACTTTTTTGTGAAATCGAAAATCCGTTAGCATTATGGGAACAATTTAAATATCATTTATCCGAAGATTATATACGACGCTAATAACGAGCTAGCCTACAACTATGCTTTGACTTACATCAATCGATACCTAACACTACAAGGTTAGTATTTCTGTCAATAATTAGTTTTATTAATTCATTTAAAATTGATGCCTATTTTTCAAATAACTTTTTATTTTTACTTTACATTTTTTAAGCATACTGAAATCATTAATTTTCGTATTAGAAATTTTTTAAATTAAATCATTTTATAGGTAACACTACCGTGCTAAAAAAATATGAATTAATTCATTACTTCAGTGTCTTTAACACTATTAATTTAACATAACATAATAATTTTTTTTGTTTCAATCGATTTTATACCTATACTAAATTATATTAAAATCATATTAATATGATAAGTAATTTCCCAGTATAATTATATAATATTTGTTGAATCACATACATTTTTATTTTTAGGCAAATCAAATAGAGACTTTCAACTACCCTTACCCACTGAACCAGTAGAACACCTAATCGAAGATGAATACAATTATGACCAAGCAGACGAACAACAAATTGCTAATAGGAACATTCATCTGTTAAACCAAGAACAACGACTTATTTTTAACGACATACTTTTGGCCATAAACGAAAACGAAAGGGTCCCACATCGTCTATTTTTTATTAACGGAATTGGAGGTTCAGGAAAAACATTTCTGTTGAATACACTACTGGCTTACTTACTAAGAAATAATCACCGTTATATTGCTATTATGTGTTATACTAGTATCGCAGCCAGCTTATTGAAAAATGGCCAAACGATTCATTCTTCTTTTATGTTTCCGGTTCCATTTCTAGAAAATTCAACGTCAAGGATTCGCAATCAGAGTACGATTGCTGATAATATTAGATATTCAAAAATTATTGTCATTGATGAAATACCTATGGTACATAAAAGTATATTCAATGAGATAGATAGAAAGACAAGAGAAATAATGAACAATGACATTCCATTTGGCGGCAAGATTATTATAATTCTAGGTGATTTCAGGCAATGCGTACCTATCGTTCCGTTGGCAGGCAAAAATGAAACTATTTCTGCATCAGTGAAATGTTCCCAACTATCTCAATACTTTGTTCAGTACGATCTGTTTACGAACGGTAGAGCACTGCCACAAGAAAACGAATTCAAAGACTGGATTATGACCATAGGAAATAATTCCGAAATTTTACGTCGCTTAGAAAATGGCAGAGACACTATAGTTAAAATTCCTAATCGTATCATTGTAGACGATGTTACTGAAAGCATAGATGGTAGTAATTTAACTGAACACGATTTCACATTATTACAAAAAGCGATTTTGTCTCCACTAAACATTCATGTCAAGGATATCATTTCAGTTGTTTTAGAAAAACTGCCAGGTAGGTCACGGCAATACCTAAGTGTCGATAGTATCATCCGAGAAGACGATACAACCGAAAATGCTGCTGATGATTTAGATTCCGCATGGCCGCAAGACTTTTTAAATTCTTTGGATGCTCCAGGACTTCCTCCCCACATACTTACACTAAAGATTGGCGCAGTTATCATTTTAACGAAGAATTTAGATGTGAAGAGAGGCTTATGTAACGGCACATGTTTATTGATTCATAATTTACACGAAAATTTTATAGAAGCAAAACGAGTGGAAGAGCCTAACAATGAACCTTCGATCGAATTTATTTCCAGAGTTGACAATATCGCTTTAAATTCTTTGGATCTACCAGAAAAAGGGATATAATCTAACCAATGTTAAGTTACAATATAAATGCTAACCGAAGGATAATTTAACGACAACATTTACTGAAAACCACTCAAACACAATATATAATCTTTCCATCTTCAGGTTTTTTTTTCAGTATATTTGAAATTATAGAATAAAACACTAATAACGGAAAACGTGAATTATAATAAAACAGATGACAGATAAGAGGTTTCATGAAAGTTACTCTGTTGCAAAACATTTTTCAATTACATTCTTCTAAAGATTTTAATTTTACGTTTATAGATATTTATTATTTCTAAAATATTTTAAAAAACCTTGCTAACAAAAAATGATACATACGCATTTTCATTTTTTTCAGATAACAATGAAAAAATAAACCATATAAAGAGATATGATCGACCTAGATAATTACAATATGAATACTATAAGAAGAATAACTTAGGAAACAAAGTCTAATGAGAAACAATGATAAACACTGGCAATCATTTTTTGCAAAAATAGATGGAAAATACAATTTTCCGTTATCATTTTTTTTCAGTATATTTGAAATTATAGAACAAGGAAACAAAAGAATCAACGAAATAAATAACAAACAAAAGAGTGAAGTAACTTAGGTGATACATTGAAGTTTTGGTAAATGACTTCTTTGGTACAAATTGAGAAGCAAATTTAATGTATACAAGAATTATGAAAACACCTTACACGGCAACCAATTACCATTTGTTCAATTGAATATTTATTCACTTATTTAGATTTACTGTTTATCAGATATATATTATTCATAGTCGTTTTATATTTGTTTTTAATTTTTGAATAATCACATTTTATCGTTGAATTTTTATGCGTCTTACAGTTTCAATTTTTTTTTCTTTTTGTAATGAGTATTTATCATTTTATTGAAACTGAAAGACTGGTGGAAGGAGGGGCGGAACTCGATATGCAGCCACCTCCTTTTGGTGAGTCCTGGGTAGTCCGAACAAGGACTAGCTGAGAGCTGCAAATTGATCCTTTTCTTCTAATATTAATCAGTTACAGATCACTGCTTTAATTATTTCTGCTTAATGATGACAATTGTTGCAAAATGTTGAGGTGAATTCTACTTTGCAACCCCTTCCGAAGTAGAAATCGTCACGCCACTGTGGACGATCTCTCTACAAAGAAATAAACAATATTCCTCGCAGTCCTTTACTGTCAGCAGTTTTGACGATAAACTATAGATGAAGGATAACTTTAAAAGCAAAGTTTAATGAAAACTAAAAGCAATCAGGTATGTTTTTTTCCAAAAACAGAAACGAAATGCCAGTTATACTAGCAATTTACTATACAATCTTGCCATATCAGATTCTTTCTTCAGTATATTTAAAAGTCTTCTTCGGATGATGACTTCGAATTTATGCAACACTCGAAAGTAAAAAACGAAGACTATTTGGGTAATTTTGAAAGTCAATAACGAGGAACACATCATAATGAGAATATTCACTGTTCAGAGACAACTGTCTCACAATATTCTGATGAAACATTTTTCGAGCATTTCCGTGTGTCGAGAAATGTGGCCAACGAAATAAGCGGCATGTTCCAAAACAGCGACTACAGAAGCAAATCTGGCCCATATGGAAAACTGATCTGGTGACCATTTCTTATTAACTATTAGTTTGTAGGCTATAGTAATAGCAATATATATATATAGGTGAAAAATTAAAGCTTCCGCCTTTTGTTGGGTACTTCGACAAAATTTAAGCAAAGAAGTACCCAACAAAAGGCGGAAGCTTTAATTTTTCACCTAACTGGTCTAGACGACAATGACCACGTCTCAAGTTATATATATATATATATATATATATATATATACATCCCGCTATCTTTCGGGCGTCCTTTCAAGAAACAATATCTGAGCGTCCACTATAAATTCTGAAGGTATGTGCATTTTATAGGCTGAATATTTTTCAAAATATGACAGCAGTTGGTGTTGAGAAGCAATAGAGTTTTGTTCAGAAACATAGAAAAAATCGTTTTTTACATCACGGACTTCTCAGCTTCCTTTCACTGTAACACTCACTGAGCGTCCCAAATATACGCAAAACTTTTAAATTTCCGTGACTGGGCGTCCTATTTATATATTTTAAATTCACTCTAAGGATTACCTAGCGTCCGGAGACGTTGCCAAATCTGTCAGTAAATATGTTTGTCCAAGTCATCTATTCATTCCAGTAACTATTTTCTCTATGAATGACAGAATGGTAACAAGTTCTAGTATAACCATTCTACAAGAGAAATCAGATTGGCATCTGGTTGAGTGTATAAAACAAGGGGATTCAAGAAAAATGGACAGCATAAGAGTGTTTAAATAAAGCCTGCTATACTCCGGAGAAGAAAATACATTCTTAGTACTAATGGACGTCGACAACACAGAACGATTCTGTGAGTGCTTCTTCGCTGGTCCAAAGTGTGGGACCAAGAATCTTAGTGAAAGGGGCCCGTAAAAACAAATTTTTCAAGTCAGCGGGCTAGTGTACCTACAAATAAGTTCAGCGCTCGGTCTGCTGAACTCGATTTCTAGCAGTCAATATCTAAGAAAGGTGTTCAGGAAAAAACGCTTCGCAAGAGCCATATGTGGACTATCAGTAATAACCCCATAAGGAAGAAGACATCGGACACCTAAGAAGAGGTACAAAGGATTTTGTTTTAACTTCAAATCAAATGGACATGAAGCAGGTAAGTGCCCTTGTTGTAATATAAAATTGTAAATAAAAAGTTGTTAATAAAGAATCAGAAAATGTCTTACCAGTAGATGGCGTTTGGAGTTCTATCACAGGGCGGTTATCAAAATAAAATTATATGCTTCTTGAAAGCTAATTTTGACAATAAAATGGATCAAAAGAAGAATAAAGTTTTTTTTCTGGGGACACACTGTGTTTCATTTTTTCCTATATTTCCTACGACGTTACATGTGCTTTTAGTATGAAGCCAGGCAAAGCGAAATGAATAACAGATATAACCACATGATAAGTTTTACAAATTACATTATACAAGGGGTAGTGCATTAAGTTTTTATGAATGAAAATGCTGGATGTAGAAAAATACCTTGTTACATAGAAAACACTTTATTATTCTTAAATAAGAACAGGCAAAAGTAAGGTGTAGAAAATAGTTATACAACACTTACAAAAATAAAATCAGAATCTGTCCTCATAGGAACCATTGAAAAGTAAAACAAAATTCCTTCATTTGTTATTATATTTATGATACTGGTTTTGGACGAATACTTTAATTTTCGGCCAATCTTTATTCGAGAATATTTCGGTATGGAGCCTTTTCAATTCCTCGCATTCATTTCGTTTCGGTGGTTTTCTGTTTTTTATATGATTTGCAAAAAAATTTAAAACAATTTTTTTCTGTTCATCGGTCCACTTAACGAGTACTCGTTTATTTTTCTTAGGAAGATATTCATTTTTCTTCTCTGGAATTTTTGAACTGTACGGTTCTGGAACGTCGGAATGCAAAGATGGCGATTCACAACGTTCGCTTTGTTCTTCGTTAGCAAGCATCAAGTCTTCTTCCAAATTTAAATTAATATCATTCAGGGCTTTTCCTTTAAACTTTTTCCATTAAAAGCAGAAGTTTTGAAATCTTGGCTGTTTGGTATACATCATTTGGTAAACGATAGTTTTCCCGATGTACGCCAATGGTATGTCCCATAAAACTAGCCAGCTGCTCCAAATCATTCTCAGACATATCAAATAATTGTGTGAGGGTAGCCAAATGCTTCCGGAGTCTAGTTGCTGTAATAGCTGATGGGTTCTTTGCCCCAGATGCCAGTGCGAATTTCTTCAGAACCTTATAACCACATTTAGGTTCATTTGATTTAGCATTACCGAATAGGAATGGGTTTTTTTCACTAACAAATTTGTTGCGTATTTTAATTAAAATATTTATGTGTCCTTGAATGTCGGGACTAAAAAGAACCGGTACTCCTCGTCCCCTTTTACCTCTTATTACTATCCTTTTAAATCTTTTGAGTAGAATTTGTTCAGTTGGAGAAACAACCTCGGAGAACTCTTCATAATTTGAGCTGGAATCGCTTTTCTCCAATATTTGATAATTGTCCAGTGTCAGTCTTTGCAGTTCACCTGGACGTCTTCGGTTAAGTAAAATCACACGGCAGAATATAGACTCCAAAAGAAGTACGTATTGGCTAACGTCCCCGTCGCCGTCGTTCTGAAGTGCAGTTGCGGCAGAATTTGCCGTCGTTATCAAAAATTCCTTTAACAGTTTTAAGTCACTGGCAAGTGGCACTAGGGTAACTTTATTCCACTTGTTAATATTTATATCACTGGCGGCCTGGCTAGAAATCTCATATTGCCATTGTGACTCAATGACTTTTATCAAAGTTTTTAAATCTGCCTCTGCTTCAGCAGATGAAACTGTTAAGGCGATTTGTTTCCTTTTCAGAGCAAATATAATAGCTATCTCCGCACATTGCTTCAGATTCGTGCCCATATTCATAGCGTAGGTTGGTGATTCAAATTTATCCTTTTCTACGTCATATTTTGCCACTGCTTTTGTTGCAGCAACAGTTGTATCAAAATATTTAGGTTTCAGAGCATCAAAGAGACAATGAATATTTGGCTCCATTTTTTCTATTTCGATTAAAAATCGAGCAATTTCTCGCATTTTCCTAGATGTTACGTTGATGAAATGCTTTTCTCGGTGAATTTTCATGTACCTTGCTCCATAAGCACAAATAAGTGGATCTCTTTTTGCAACGAGAGATATTTCATCCGCTCTCATCCTGGGAAAAACCGTCTTTTTCAAATTTAGATCAATTCTCAAGCTAGATACCAATAAATTTTGGGCAGACACCTGAGCACGTGTGCTCTTTGATCCAGTACATTTAATTTTGTGCCTCCATAACAATTTTCTAGAGTAAAAACCAAGGCAATTATCGCAAGGCAAAAGATCTTTGGACTGGCTTACACGCGACACTACTATTTATATAGTTTCCCTTTTTTCTTAAACGGTCCAAGAGCTGTTTTCTTACTATACTACGAGTTGGATGTAGCAGAATTTCTTGGACTTCGATTTCTGATGGGTGGTTGCGTGTTATATGTCTGGCAAAATTTAACACTGGAGTCTCGCAAAAGAAACAGAAATCTGTCTTTTTCTTTCCCTTGCGCATTTCACCATCCTGTTTATATATCCCAAAATTATTGGAAGGGTTTTCTTCTGATGGCAGAATTGGTTCAACAGTGCGGCCCGAAAATGTAACTTTTTCAGTATATGGATCAGATATTTCTTCCTGGAAACAAAACATTTATTATATCTTTTTTTAACCTTCAAAACTCACATTTTATTGGACAAAACAACGATCATAGCGCCAAACATATGAAAATTTCGATCTCTCTATAATATACTCAAAATTGTAGCAGGGCATGTTGCATTAAGCTCCTCTCACAAAAACCGCTCTTTATAAATTATATTTTGTTCATTTCAGATAGTATTCTAAAGCACCTGGTGTATCAATATTATTTGTGACTTACGGGGTTGTAAGATTTATAATTAACTGGCATCACAATATACCTGTTTATTACATAAATGGTCGTCTTTTTGGATAAAACTGTTGCCAGGTTCGCTCCCAGAATCTGATGAAACCGAGGGAGTATCTGGAATGTATTCAGTACCACTACTATAAGCTTCATTTTCTTCTGAAGCATGCTCACTACTACTACTACCATGAGCATCAAAATGTTCATCACTAGTAGATACTACATCAATTGTAGGTGATATTCCACCAGACTGGAGGTTTCTAAAGTGTTCTTGCGGACTTATAGGTATTTCTTCTTCAAAGAGATTTTTTTTAACCTTCTGTAGTCTTGTGTTATACACCTTTTCGGTGGAGGATATGGTGGAGTATTGAATTTTTATAGCAGGTGTTCTTGTTTGACTTGTTACGTTCCCAAATAGTTCTTGGGATCCTGTGAAGTAAAATGTTTAATGTTATAATTTTTTTAAATTAAGTCTTTTCAGTACCGACAATGCAGTGGCTATCCAAGATATTTCTGCAGCCAAAAGTATTGCTTGAACCAAGTTTTAGTAACTTTATCTATTTGCCCAAAACAATTTGTTCATTCTTTAATATATCTGTTCATTCTTTAATATAATTTTAATCAACAATTTTACAAAATTTGCTTTTCAATTAAAGAGTTCTAGGGCTATTGATTAAATCAAAGTTTCGCAAATAATTCATAAATTACTACTTCCAGTTATTTTCCAAACTTGAATGTCAATGAATAATTTGACCTCACTAAAATTTCTTGAGACACAGAAGTAAATTATGTACCGTAGTTTTTAAAAGTAAACAATGTATTTTTGTAAAGATAGAAAAAGTGTTATACAGAATTCCCCAAAAAGCCGTAATAATTTTTTCAATGGAACTGCCTATATATTACACAATGTTTGGATTATGTGAGGAATTTGAAATATTTATCATTAAGCATACCGCAGGTCTATCTTCAATTGTTTTTAAATCATCGACATTTGATAAATAACAGTTTTGGTACTCTAAATCCTCATAACCCCTCAACAATCTTATTGTTAGAGCAAAATAAAAATGCCATAAAACGAAGTATGTATCATTACTTTTGTTTCACTCATTATTATAGGTGAAAGCTTATCAAAAACTAGACCGGATGTTATTCTGCTCGAAGTCAAACTGTTCAGGCGTTGTGAGGATTCAAAGTGCCCAGAAATATCACCTTTCAAATGCCCTTAATTCAAAAAGAATTCAAATAGACCAATAGTATGTTCCAAAAAGTATGTAAAATCTGTCACGAAATCAAACAAAAAAAACCTAACATAGTTGTATCCCAGTTTCTTGCGAAACCTTGTTATATGTCCGCTATTTTTATAAAAATACGCTATTTTCCTTGCAATTGGTAAAAAATGTAAATTTGTATTTCAAACAATGAAAAAAGAGACGTGCACAATTTCTAATCAGTAACCCTGTACAGTCAACGGCTACTTACAATAACTCGGTTTTATTTATGAAAAAACTTATTCAGAACTTACTTTGAATGCACAAATCTTGTTCGTTCTGGGTGGTTCCAAGTCGTTCATATTTAGGAACTTTCAGGAAATCAATGCAACTCCTGTCCTTTATATTGAGTGCATTCAACATAATTTTTGTTTTTCTGTCCATATTATCTGAAATTACCAAAGCAATGAATGCAGCTAGAATCAATAAAATTGGAAGAGTAGTTTGACACGTTGTTATTTGATTGGGATTTTCTTTATTCAAAAAAGTTTTTAATCTCTGTTTGGCCAGTTCTATAGTATTCTATAGTATTTATCTTCCATTAGCATATTTTTAAGGAGACATTATGAAACATTGCATTCAAACTGACGGCACGACTTCTAAATATCGCTCAATCGGTCGAAAAATTATTTATAATTGGGGATGTATGTGATCAATAAGACCGAGCATTACACTTTTTAATACCTGAGAAGTGAAATTTAGTATCCTGATGATCAATTAGCTTTCGTGCAGCATTTTGTTTTAATGTTAGGAACATTTTTCAGTCTAATTAATGACATACCCAGAAAATTAATTATTGACTTCCTATCCTTTACTGAATAAACCAAGAATGAATTGGTACTGTCAATGTCAAAGTGAATATCTTCAAAGTACTGAAAAATTCTCTGTATTTATCCATTTTAAAGTTATTATGAGTTTACCAATCATCAACTAAAGTGGTTCGGATGTTAGTTCCAACACATTAAGAGTGCTATTGTGTCAAAAACAGGGCCATTGATGTTGAAAACCCTTCATAACTATACCTGAAGGTACCGTTTAGGCCGTAGACCCAAACGGCAATGTCTCACTAGCAAGAAAGTCAAAGAAAAAACGATTCAAGAAAATATACACGGAACCTTTAGCATTGTGACAATCATAGTTTCAGTTGTCACTTTAACAGGTATATCTCTCCTTTGTACACTATTTCCTCAAGATATAAATACTATGACGAATTGGACGAAGCATAATGTTGAGGTAGCCACTAAGACAAATAAGAACACACCAGAGGTTATAATTGGAACCTCTGAGATAATAGAAATTGTTGAGAAAGAATGTGAACACCCACGAGAATGCTGTGAAAAAAAGGTACTTGTCCAGCAGAGGGCGAAGCACCAGATTCAGATACACGCCATGATGGATTCGAACTTTTCCCAGATAAAAAGAGGAAATGATCTGCGAGGAAGGCAAGATTAAGTTGATGCTGAAGAAAGCTAAAATACAAGTGGACTCTTCTGATCTTGATAGGTGGTAGACGGTCATTGATCGTCGTCGTTGAGGCACCACCCTCGGTTCTCTTAGGTGGGGCCTGAATGTGTACGCATGCTCCCTCATTAGAGTACGTGTGACGTTTCCCCTTTCCACTGTAATCTCACGGCACCCACGGTGTTTAGGCCTTAGGCCTGCGTAATGACATGTATAAATAGCCGGTTAGAAAACACTTTTTTAATATTTAATCATATGATTATTTACAATATAAATAAATATATTAAAGTATAAGTGTATATTGAGGTCTTTAGAACGTTTGTGTTTTATTTTTGTAAATTGTTTCTAAACCGTAAGAAAATATATTAAATTTTATAGCTGAAAAATCTGCCGCGAAACGGCAAAACGTTCCAACAAAATGAGGTTAGTTTCATTATCTGAATGTTAATCCCAGAAAAGTAACAGAAATATTGAGAATATTTGTTAGGAATTTCACTAATATTAATTACATATACAATAAATAAATATTTTCATACTTACCCACAATAAAACCTTGAAACCGATTGAGAAACAATTAATTAGCACATGTTCGAAAGGAAACCCGAAATAGGAAATAGAACTAAATGGAACACTGCATCATAAGACACAGCGAGTTTAGGATGGACGCTTGGAAATCGATAGGCTAAAAGTATAATATACCCACAATCAAATCTTAAAAACGAATGCAGAACAAATAATGCCAGTCGGTTATTAGCAGGTGGTCGGAAAGAAACCTAAAAATAGAATTAAAGGGAATGCTGTGTTGTCAATATTTGAAATTTAGGGTGGACGCTTAGAAATCGACAGGTTAAAAGTATAATATACTTGCCAAAATATTCAACAGTCGTATCACGCGCCTCTATAGGCGAAAGCGTTCAACTTATAATATACCACTACTATATAAAAAAGCAGGTTGTGGTATTATCCGGGCGCCCGTACAAAATTTTAATGGACGATTCTAAACACACTTTGGATACAAAATCTATGGGAAATCAACCGGGCGTCCATATACGGACGCTCGGTTGAAGTCGGACGCTTGCAAGATAGCAAATCGGCAATGTATGGACGCCACGGAGTTAGTGGGATGAATATATATATATATATATATATATATATATATATATATACAAGTTATGTTGCCGAGATGGCCGTTCGGGTTTTTAAAAAAACTTTTATTTTTACTTTTACAAGACAATACAATATACTTGATATTTTATAATGGATAGATGTACAATACGGCGAACAAAACGAGTAATGTTTAATGAATGAATGGTCTGGAAAGCATCAAGAACCTCTATTTATCATCTCGGTAAGGATGCTTTCCTCAGCATTTTCTTCTTCCACGTGCATCCTTTTCTGCATCATAACTCCTCCCCACCTAGTCTGAAAACTGAATAGGAACTTTTTCTGTTCTCAGTAGGTTTTGTTCTTGTTGCATTTTTCTTGGGCCTTTCTTCACTGGATTCGGGATTTTCTTCATCTTTCTTGTCTTGGGGTAGGTCATTTTTCTTCTGGATTTGTTTTTTCCAAATATACCAAAAGATTACTGCTACTGTAACAAGCAGAAAAATAGTAAAAACTGAGCTACTAGAAAACCAAATTAAGGGATCAATAGCGGCTTCTTCTTGCATTTGAAGAAAATTTGCTTTCTCTTGCATTTCCTTAATCTTGCTGAGGTCAATAGTCTTGAGGATTAAAGCTTTCTTGGATGCAAAGTTCGATCTTGCATTCCAAAACTTTATTTCTGGAAGGACCAAAGGGTTTCCTTTGACTTGATCCTCTTTGTTCCAAAACTTGGATGAGTTGATTTGTATTCCACAATTTTCGGGTATTTCGACTAAACTTGGCGTTTCTAAAATAAGTGGTTGTTGAGTACCACACAACTTGACTGCTGTGATCGGCTGATCAGCGGGTATGACCAAAATGTGTTTTGCTGATATTGCTTCAACAATAGGACTGGATACTTGTAACCTTGTGAATTGGCATTTTGAAAATTCTGCTTTCTTCAGTAACTCGTTTAGACAACCTTGAATGGGTTCTTGTCGATTCTTGCAGAAGTAGACGTTTTCAATTTCTAGACATTCTTCTTCTTCAAATTGTTGATGACTTGTTCCAAGAGCCAAATAGGGATGGGTTGGAATAATGATTGAATTTCTAATTGGAACTGGGTATAGACGGAAAAATTGGAATTTTTCATCAGATAATATAGGAAATCTTATAGAAAACAAGATTTTATTATCAGTAAATGTAATTTGTGGATCAGCTACTAAATAGTATGATTGTAAATTTTGAAAGTTTGGTACTTTCTTTTTACCATATAATTTTACTAAATACTTTATGTTTTTCTCTAAGTCTGAAACTGTTATAATAGAACTCTGTAAAGTGTTCAATTTTGAAAACATTATAGCGTCCTCCAAATTGTCTAAAAATGTAATCAAATTTTGACAATTTAGATTAAGTTGCTGTAAAATATTTTCAGCGTGAAGATAAGCTGTCAAGCTTCCTACAGTTCCATTCATCGCATTTTGCAGATGATACAATTTCGTTTTGATCTGTACCTGATTAGAGCTTAATAATGAAATTGTAGAATTGTAATTATCTATCAATTCTTTAGTTAGTGAGGTCTGAAGTTTCAGTTGACTATGCACAGAATTTGCGTTCTTTTGTAATTCATGAAGTGCATTATTAATTTTGATTTCGTCATCTGAGTCCATTGTACCAAAAAGAAACTTTGAAGTTTTTCCTACGAGATTAATCAATCCTCGTTTCTGACGAATACGTGGAACAATGTTATCTAAATTTTTTGTAGCTTCTTGTATCAGAAATTTCGTATGCTTAAGGAGATTTGATAATCCAAAGTGCAAGTCTGAATGATCAGCATTTAAAGGCTTGAGAGTATTTTGGAGTTTTTCGTAATAATTTTGGATATTCGTAATCTGCCTTGTTAATGAAGTAGTTTCTACAAATTGAATAAAAGTATGATACGAGTCTATAATACTAGCGTTACCTAGCGAATAAGGGAAAAGCGGGGCTTTTAAGGGTGTGACAACTGCGTCTTTGTTGGCTTTGGTTGTCGCGACTAGTAGAAGGGATAGAATGACTATCGGAACCTTCTTGATTTCCAGATTCATGATCCTGCGGAAAAGAAGAATAAGCTTTAGGTTTTTGAATTTGAGATTTTTGTACTAAACCTTTGCGTTTATTGATAGTCCGTACTTTTGTACCTAAATCTTTCTTAACTTCAGTTTTTGTGAATCTTGGTTTTAATTTACTCCAAGAAGCGGTTTTATCTTTGACATATGCTTTCGAACTTTGGGGGAATTTGGATGGATCTTCTCTAGTTTTATTACGCTTTTCTATAATATTCTTTTTATGAGCGTCTGTTGCTTGGTGTATATTGTTGTAAATGAATTTTAGTCTTCCACGTCTATCATCAATGAATTGGCTAACAATGATTTCATCTGATAGGTCAAATGGATCTAGGACATCTAAGCGGCCATTTATAAGGTCGAATGGTCGTTGTTTTGTAACACTGTGAATTGACGTGTTATATGCCAAAATTGCATATTGCATTAGTTCTTTTGGACATAATTTTGGAAATTTAATTTTTAGAATTCTTAAGAGTTCTAGCAGAGTTGAATGTAATCGTTCTATGGGACTGTTGCTATTCGAATTACATGGTGTAGTAAAGTGAAGCTGGATTTTGTGTAATTTACAAAATTCAGTAAATAAGGAATTATTGAATTCTCTTCCGTTATCAGTAGTAACTGACTGAGGAATGCCGTGATGATTCACAAATATCAAAATATTTTCATACACTGTTGTGGCTGTGCAAACTGGATCTAAATGATAGGCTTGTGCATATTTTGAAAATGAATCAATAACAGTAAGAAATTTTGTGTTAGAAAATTGGAAA